AGCACCGATCAGTGGCGCCTGGTGTCAGTGTGTCGGTGCCACTTCGTGCAATCCCGATCAGTCGGAGGTTGTTGTTGTTTTCACTTTGCTGTTATGCTACCACTTTGAGATCGGTTTTGGATGGTTTTGGTGGTTTGGACAATCATGTACTTAGTACTTGACTTCATATTCATGCAGCTCACAGGATTTTGAAGCAGAAGATGCTAGAAACCAGTGGATCGCTCATGTCCAGGCACAAGAGAATGCAGGAGCGCTCGGATGGCAACTCACTGCTGAGGAGGCAGCTTAGACACCAGAACAGCCTGCATGCAGCATCTACTGTAACTGATGATGTTCAATGTATATACATAATTTTGTTCATTGTGGTTTCATAGGATCCTTGCTCATCAGTTGGCTATACTAAGCCCAGTGTCCATATCATATATTGCTTATAAGTCTATATCTCCCGTTTCCTTCGAGGCAATTGCTCCCACCCAGACACCGACTGACCGTTGGATGCCCAGGTGGCTCAGTTGGATGCCGTGGCCGTGGATTCGCTGGGGATGTATAACAGTCCTGAGGTGCGGATAAAAAAAACAAACGCCTCCCACCGGGCCGGGGGGGAGAGTTCCGAAGCTGTGGGGGGGGGTGGCGGTTCAGATTGATCAGTGACACTGGATATGGGTCGGAAAAAGACAACTATATACACACCAGATCTCACAAGCTCAAAGCTAAAACATGTTGAAACATGCGGATTTATATTAACAAACTTACACCAACTAACATGGAGGAGGCCCCTGCCAAGCAAGAATCAGGGCCGGACCTGTAGAGGGCTCAGGTGGAACTGTCAGTTCTTCGAAGCAATCGAGCTGAGTGACCCCCCTACCTATAAGCCCTATAAGCTTCGAAGAGTCACCATCGCGGCACCTGACCCAGTACCCAGAAGCTACCCCAGACCTTTTGTTCTTCATCGCCTCAGAGTTTGCCCGGTCGATGGAGGCGTTATACACCTTCTTCGGGTGGTGGCCACCTGCCGTGGTGCGACCGCCTCTTGGAAAAAACCGAAGAAACGGGTGGTGCTGATGAGAAGATTGGATTGTCAAGTGGAATTGGCCTTCTGAATGAAAGCACCCACGAAAAGTAACCTTTTTTGAGACATGTTAAAAGTGTAGAACGGCACAACACAGGAAGACAACCATCATTGACGACAAGCTGTGAGTCATCACCAACCTCCCAGTGAGCTGGCTTAACCCTCTAGAACAATCAGCTGTTCATGCGTCCTGAGTGTCTAGTGAAGAAGGTACCAACAGAGGTTTATTGATGTGTTGAACTTTTGATGCCCACCAATAGCTAGAATCTAGAAGTTACCCCACCCCCCCCAGAGAGAAAACCATATTGACAAATAGTAAGCCTAATTTATCTAAAAAACTTAACTGCTACATTGTTTCCTGGAATTCTGGTGCTGTACCACAACATCCAGAAAAAATGCATCAAACTCCTACATTTATTTGGTGGTACATGAACTGCCTCGGTCACTTTTCCACAGATTCCGAGCACCCCGACGCCTGGCCTCTTTCAAGGGTGTGCAACGGCGTGCTGCGCTGTGTCCTCGCCCTGGCACGGAAGTGCGTCCCGCTGCAGGATTGAGGCTGGTGCATATCGCGCGCTGTTGTCCGGTGGGATTTTGGCCTTAAAAGCATCATAAGGACCACCCCAACAAAACCACTGGGGTCCATTGACTACTCCAAGTTTGTGTGGGTTATATATACTCTAGTTTTGTTGTGCCTTGTTGCAAACAAGCAATGAATTTCTTCTAGACGGGGACTTGTAACTTGTGATGGCCTGTTCTTGTCAAACCGAGTGTAGCCAGTTACATGAACAGAATAGGCTACGACGATATGCTGACCTAGGATGATAATTATTCAGTGTAGTGGTTCACACCCATGTCACATGTCACTCCTGTTTAATGCAGTGTTGGAATATACATATTGTTCAATGCGGTTCAGTCATTGAGTCCCCATTGCCAGGTTTTGGGGGCTAGCAGTCTGGAAATGCCTGGAGTTGTTTGTTCGGGTGCAACTGCAAGAAGGTTCTTGGAGCCCATCATGTGGTGCATTGAGTTGCTATATACTAGAGGTGGTAACTTAGATTGTGCTAGATGTGGTAATATTTTAGTCCCACATAGTCCCACTGTCTATCTCAAAGATGTTCAATCATTCATGGGTTGAAACGCAAGAGAAGGACATTAATGCCGCTATGGGGCAATGTCATTGGATTCAAAGGCTCAGATGTTCACTTTCCATATCCATCAAGATATTGTCACAGATTGGTCAAAGCGATGCGCTGTTTCAGTGCTGGCGGCAGACGTCCACCTCCTCCCCTTCGGGACAGATCAATTAATTTCAGGCATGTGGCAATGGCACGAACTGGTGCAAACACAAAGCAAACCAGAAAATGTGCAAACACAAAAACCAGAAAATGGCACGAACCAGTATAATTAAACACAAAAAACACAAAATGTGCCGGAGCAGACTTGGACATGAATCCAGCATGTTTTTTCCAGCTTCAGCACCGGGACTTATCATCCGACCCCCAACCAACTAACCAACTAAAGATCATTGTCGCTGGTTTGGAGTTGAGGGTTGTTTGCAAGGAGACCGCTTTGCCTTGCATGTTGGTTGTATTTTTTTGGGGGGGGGCGTTTGGATGCACATGGAATGTAGTGCTCCCTCAATGCTTGAAAGACCACTGGGTGAGTCCTGCACGCACCTTCACTGCTTAACCAAGACTAGTTGGGGCGGCACAGTGTCTACTTTCTCCACTGCCACATGTTGAAATATGTTGAAACGCTGCGTTTGCATCTAAGATGCTGCGGCGTTCTTTTGCACGCAAAGTTGCTCCAACATAACTTTTGCACACGTGCTTGTGAAGATGGCACGGACAAAATGATTGAACGTTTAGAGGCCCGCAGGTGAGATCTGATTAATTTGAGAGGTATTCCTCCTAAAAACAGCTCCTTGAGGATTTCCTTCCTGATGTCAGAATCACCTGGAAGTTTGAGGCTGTGGTCACTTGTGGCGGATCAGCGTGAACAGTTACCGTCCCGTGCATGGGAGGCTCACAGGGTGCATGTGACTTGCGCTGCATCGAACAAAAAGGAACGACCGCTCAAGAAGGCACCGTTTTGCGGAAGCCGGAGTGCCATGATGACGTTCATCTTCAGGTTCAATGGGCAAACAATCATGACAATGAGGACAGGAGAACCATGATTTCTTTGTGCAACACGGAGAACTTTCTGGAACCAAGGCTCTCGCACCTCTACTTGTTAATAGCTACCATCATTTGTTGGTTTCAAGGCTTCCAGGCCGTTCACTCTTGTTGGCCTTGTGTTTGCTTTGCCTTAGAGTCCCTCAAAGCGCCGCTTGGGAGGTGCACAGAGAGAGAGAGAGAGATACAAAGCGAAGGACATGCATCTTGTGATCAGTTCAGTATGAGGGGATCAACAACCAATGGGGGTTCATTTACTTTATCTCCTTGTTCGGGTTAGCATGTGAAGACAAGACTCGGGCTTGCTGTGCAGAGTTTGCCGACATCTTTACTATGTTTGAGTTTTCTGTTGGCTTCCTTTCTTGCAGCTCTATGACACTCACCTTCCAGCTGTTCAAGTCGTTCAATATGTCCATCCTTTTCCGCACCTTTGCCAATGCACTTCCTCCTGGCGGATATCAATGCCGCTTTCTGGTCATTGGGCCGCATCGCTGGCAGAGGCTGTGCGACCGGCTGGAGCAGCTGCAGTCGAGACTCCGCTGTCCACGGCTGGAGACGTTCTCTGTCAACGGCGAGACGTTTACTCTTCCGCTTCCTGCCGTTGCTCCACCTGTAGCGCCACCGGCATGGGAGGAGCTGGAGTATTTGGCCGGCTTTTTTGATGGAGATGGCAGCGTTTCACTAGACCGTGGGCAATTTACGCTTCAAGTAGATCAAAATATAGATTCTGCTAAGGTCTTGTTGAAATATCGTTTGTTGCTCGGGGGTGGCATCTATCGTTCTGCAAGTGCCACAGGCTGCCAGAAAGCCGTTCTGAAATGGCGGATATTTGGAGCAGCAGCGAGACAAGCTGCCAGTTGGCTAAGCAGTGTGCCGTCTATGAAGCAGGCTCAGTTAGAGCTGGCAATTGCAGGCCCTGTCAACAGGACCCATCGAGATGAAGTAGGGCAGGAGTTGAGAAAGTTGAAACGCAGGGATCATGTCCCTGCAAGATTTCACTGCTCGTGGTCATACTTTGCTGGATTCTTCGATGCTGATGGCTACATCAAAGTTTGTGCGGAATGCTGCAGACTGAGTTTGGTCATTGAGCAAGTCAACCCGTATGCTTTGGAATGCTTGCTTGAATTTCTCCATGAAGAAGGTCTGGTTTGGAATCTCCGTAAGTATGGAAACTTCTTTCGCCTTATGTGCAGTGACTCTCACACTTCAAAAGCGACGCTTGAATACTTACTATACCACGGGCTTCATGTTAAGAAAGATCAAGGCCACCTAGCACTCGCGCTGTCGGCCCTCAACCACCTGGACGTCCGCGAGGCCTTATCCAAGTTGTCAGGTCATCAAAGTCGCTATCGGCGGCTGGACAATCAGGGAGCGCTGAGAGCCAAAGAGATCAAGCGCTTGCAGTCAAAATTGCGGGGAGCGCGCAGCTGGTCCAAAGATCTGGAAGAACAGGTTCATCAGCTGCGACAAGAACACGCACAGCACAAGCTCGTGTGCAAAGCCACAGCTTTGAGGGCCGACATCAGGCAGTTGCTGAGTGAAGGTGCCACGATTGTGCCATTGGATCACAGAGGGTTCAGCCTAGAGCCCGGAGGAAGAAATCTCAGACAAGGCCATGCCGCACATAATCGTAGGGACGTGTGCATTTCACAAAGATGTTCTGCTTTTCAATCAAGATTTGACAGAATCACTGGCCACCCAGCGACCCCAGCCATCATGCCCCAACGCAACATGCACTTCTGGGCCCACCCGAGGTCACGAAGCTGGCGCGAGAGCGACGCATGAAGCAGAAGGAGCGCTGATCAACACGACACCAGGTTGGTTCATTTTGTGGGGAGTTGTGCATGTTGTTTTTTGGTTCACATGCTTTGCTTGGTATTTTGCTGAGCGAGGCCTTTGTTGTTGTGGGCTGACATTTGTTTGGCATTTGTATCAACTACCTTTGGCCCAAAGCTGTGACCAAGTGGTGTTTGATCGTGCAGGCAGGCTAGTCCGCATGTTGTGGTTGATCTCATCAAGGTCCAGCTTCTTTCATGAGGAGAACCCAGAACCTACAGCCGAGTGGGGAAAGTCGGGTTTCCAAGCTTCCAATTGGAAAGGACTCTTGCCGCTATGTGATGTTCTTCCGTCATGTTGGAAGAGTAGGGAAGACATGGGAGCACAAACGGAACAACGGACTGAGGTGTTTCAGCGAAACAGCTGACTGCCTAGGCCGCCACCGAAACCAGCCCACCAGAGCAAAGAGAGCAACACGCCTGGGGCCTCGGTTTCGTTCTGTTCTCGAAGATCAGATCTTTGAGACTTTGCAGCACTTTACCACGTGATGAGCAAGGCTTGCAACTCCAAAGGTGTTCATCAGTTCCTCACCAGCAGCCCCAGCACCAAGTCACCAGAACCTCCAAACTACCACTGCCACCTGACAGAGGCACCAGCCCACAGCTCCAGCTCCGTTCCTGCACAGGGGTCGCCGGGCCGGCCTGGACCGGAAGTACGTCAAGGCACTGGAGCCCTCCTTGCAGCATCGGCTGCAGGCGAATGTGACGCAGGGTAGTGGTTGGCGTAAGCATGATGAGCGGACTGTGGGCCCATTTCTTCAATCTGACTTGAGATGCAATGATATGAAATTGTGCGATCTTGCAGGTGAAATGCAAGGTTCATCATGGTTCAATCTATTCTTTTTGCAGGTCTGAATGGGGCAATTGCTCAATCAACTGCCACAACTAGACAATGTTCTTCCAACATGTCGGGTCTAAAAGCAGAGCGAAATGAGCACAACACCGACATCCACATCCACCCACCATGAGTGCCTCTCACATTGCTGTAGGAGTCGCGCGAAGCCTGGGGCTCCATGCGCCAGCGTGCGCGATTGGCGCGGCTGCCGGTGGTGCACGAGCCGGAGCCGGAGGAGAGCGGATGGGCTGTGGAAGGGCGGAGGCGAAGTGAATCGTTGCATGTCCAGGACCTTAAAAGTTGCAAAACAACATCGGCTACAGGCGAAACATGTAAGAACACTACTAACTACTATACATATACCTATGAACTCCAAGGTATGCACAATTTCTGCTGCGGCAAGAATTCTTGCTTCGAGCACTTTTTTTTGTAGTCGAGCGGTTTTTGATGTTGATGGAATTTTGAGAAATGTTGGCATTTCAGCTGGACGGCGCAAGCATCATTCCCAATGAAGCAAGCATCAAGTGCTTTCCATTTGCCAGAAAGGGAGTTGAAAAGAACACATCTAAAGCTATTGGAACAACTGCTCACGTTTTCAGAGTTCACATCACTGTGTAAACAGTTTTTCTCAAGATGATTCAATGGATGAGCGAGATCTTCGATCACCACAATTTGTCCTTGGAGGTGCCTCTGGCATGGTTTCCACTGGAGATGCAGAGGGACTATGGTGGAAGTTTTAGAATAGGTGATTGGATCGATTGGACGTTTTAGAATAGGTGATTGGATCGATTTGATTTGTTCAAACATTTTGTATGGAAAGAGTGATCACTGAGTGATCGGATTGACTTGATTTGTTCAAACATTTTGTAGATCGAAGATTGGGTGATTGGATGATTCGATGGATTTGGCTTGCTCAAGCATTTTGTAGAGACAGATCGATCACTCACTGTTGAATACTTGCGAACTTTGGGGATGGCGTTTGAAGCTGGGCACCTGGCCAAGATGCTCGACATGGACCCAGTGATTCGCCATATCGGCAGAACCAAGGACTCACTCACACAGTGGGAGAATCCAAAGGTGATTGGTGTTCCAAGCTGCGCTCACCTCAAACTCAATGTGAGGTTGCTGGAAATTGTCACTGAGTGGTGGTTGCCAAAGACTTCCGGGCCTTCAGCGATCAACATTGCTTGCCTGCGCAAAGAGGCGTTTCAGGGATCTAGGATTTGTGGGGTCTCCTGCTTTGCTAAACGTAACTGACGACGACTGACTTGTAAACATCAAACCAGGCAACCAGGTAGGGCCTGATTCCCTGACAGGTGACCTGCTGGAGGCAAGTGTGTGCATTACCTGATGACGTGGCACAAGTGCACCTCGATGCTTGGGGTATCAACAAATTGTTCAGCCACCTGACCCGTCGCTGGCTCGCTGGCACCGCCAAACCAAAGGAGACGTGGGTGGGCTTGGATCAACTAGTTTAAATCATGTTAAAACAAAAAACATTCGTGTTTGATCAGTTGTTGATGTTGATAGGCACCAATGCTCCTAAGTTGGTTGATTTGGTGTACCCGTTTCACAACAGGATTCCGGGCTCACACAACTATGGAACATGATGGATGAAGCGTGGGGTCAGCCACCAATTGATGGGGAAGGTGGTGGCGCAGATGGTCAGCCACCAATTGATGGGGAAGGTGCTGGCGCAGATGGTCAGCCGCCAATTGGTGGGGAAGTTGAAGAAGCAGCTTTGACGGAGAGTGACCCTGTCGAGGTTAGTGATGACGAGAGTGAGGATAAACCCAGTGCTCCAGTGGCCCCACTTTCTCATGGATCACGACCTGCTCATGATCCAGCAGTTCGCTCTGATGGATCATCAGGATTCGATCCCAGCTCAAATGCAGCACCGCTCAATGCTGCTCTCGCCAAGCCTGATGAAGCAGAATCAGTACGCACCACGCGTGCAGAGATCTTGCAGCGGGTTAGTTTGGTGAGGCCAGTGTTCAAAAACATGTCAAAATTGTGTCATTGCTTGTTTTTTGGTGTGGATGGTGAAGAGTAAACACTCAGTTCCAGACTTACTCGCATTACTCCAACCCTGCAGTCACATGATCCAGCAGAAGCAGCTTGCACGTGCAAAATCAAGTGGCTAGGCCTTTCCACTCCTCAGTTTTTTTGGTTGATTCTGGCGCGTGAATTTCTTGTTGGTGATGTAGTACGATTGTTTTGAGGTCAAAAAAGTTTTTGCTGATGCTGAGGTCCTTGCCTGGACGCCTGCGACACGTTGCCCATGGACACCCAAGAGATCACCGAAGCTCAGTCCAAGGCGGCTGTCTTCGAGGACACCGTCATGATCCCAGATTCGCCAGAAGACCCCGCTACTTGGGAAGATAGCCAGGCTGTCGACATTTTTTGTCCGGAACTCTCAGCCTCAGCCTTTGTCCCCACCGATGGCAAGTGTGAGAAGGCCGAGGGGGTGATCCTTACCATGAGTCAGCCACTGTTGAGCCCTTGCTTGAGACACAGCCACAGCCAATTCAGTCTGTCGTGGAGGCGAGGTTTCATGAACCTTTGGTTGAGACAAAGCCTGTTGGTGTGGAGCCTACAGTGAGGGAGCCTTTGATTGAGACACAGCCACTTGAGTCTCAAGTGGACGTGGTGTTTGATGAACCTATGGTTGAGACAAAGCCTGTTGGTGTGGAGCCTACAGTGGGGGAGGCTTTGCTTGAGACAAAGCCACTTGAGTCTCAAGTGGATGCGGCGTTTGATGAACCTATGGTTGAGACAAAGCCCGATGGTGTGGAGCCTAAAGTGGGGGAGCCTTCCCTTGAGACAAAGCCCAGGGAAGACCATGTGGATGAAGATGTTATGAAGCTGTATGGCTCTGAGGAGGGAGGGGGTCTTGATAGTGTATTTTCAAGAAACGTCCAAGCATGTTTAAAATCTTCGGGATGTATGTGATGTTTATTATGTTTGTTTCAATCTGATTTCCAGCCCTTCAGGCTGACCTGATCATGCGCCGGGAGCAGCTGCAAGCACCGTTCAGACAAAAGATGAATCTGAACGAAGAAGAGAAGGATGTGACGGCTGCAAAAGCCAAAGCAAAAGCCAAGGCGAAAGCCAAGGCTGCAGCCAAGGCGAAAGCCAAGGCTGCACCCAAGACTAAAGCGAACAAAGCAGCTACTGCCGATTCTGGCGCTTCCACGGTGGCTGATGAGAACAAAGCAGCTCCCAAGCGCCAGCGCAAGAACACGGCAAAGGATGACTTGCCCAGCGATGCCCAGCCAAAAAAGGCCAAGACCTTTGCAGGTCGCTACATTGTGGGTGCGAAAAGCCAGGCCATCCGTGATGCCTTCGAGACTCACATTGCGCCGAAGCTCGTGAAGTCATACCGCTTGCAGGAGAATTTATTTTTGTAGTCGTGTTTGTAGCCCAATTCTCAAAATAAACTGAGGCAGAGGTCATCATAGATCTGTTCCAATTTTGAACATTTTGTGCAGGATGGATGGTTCAAGCTGGCCTCTTCAGCGATTTCGGCTTTGCCTGATGATCCGGCTCAGCAAACATACCAAGTCTTCATGGACACGATTCAGGAAAAGGTCACAGAGTTCTTGGATTTGCCCAAGGTTCGAGTCTGGGCTGATACTTTTGTTTATTGATTACGGGGCTGATCAAATCAGCGTTCAGTCTTTTTAGATCTTTTCAGAATGTTTGGTGGTAGTGGTTTTGAATAACATGGAAAGTAGACCTAGAGGGAGTAGACTTTGAACTTTTGTTGAGGATTGGAGTTGCGCCCGATTTCAATTGAGTGAGATCTGATCAGCAAGTGGATGTGATGTCCTACAAAGCCAACTCCCGACTGGCTTGACACGTGCGTGCACATGCGCTTGCATGAAGGGGAGCCAACACGTGAGATAGCCTAGTACTGGTTAGACTGGCTTGGTAGGTATTGAAATTTTGAAGCAGCGCCCATCGATCTGTCGGCAAGTTTGTTTGTAGGAGCTTTTACTGGAACCTTTTTCAAATCAGCCAAACTGCTTAACTGCTTAAGCACAGATTGGGCAAGTCACTCAAACAATGGGTGGCAGCAGATCTTAGATTATCTTAGACCAGCCATACAGCTTTTGCTCTTCGGCAACGGGACAAGTGAAAAGGTTGGTAGCGCAAACACGTCTGATAAAACCAACTTTCGAGCTGGACGTTGACATGGACTTGATGAGACTGCTACATTTCAAGAAGGACCAATAGACCAATACTACATCCCATCACTATCTTTGCTTTTCCACTTTTTACTTGGCCTTGTTGGGCAGTCTGGCCAGGATGTCCCTTCGCAGAGGGCAAGCCCTGTTGGCAAGACATGGACTGTGCCGTACGCCCGGCGCAGATTTACATCTTCTTTGTAGTTGTGTGTGTGAAAGGTTGCTTGTTTGAGGCGCAGGCATTGTTTTGCATGCTTCATCTCTTTCCTTTTGCAGCCATGGTTGAAGCCGGGCAAGGGCGTCTCTCTAGTGCCATGAAATCCAAAATTACTCGAGCGCAAATCGACCATGCATGTCGAGTTATGCTGACTCTGGGAGCCCCAACAGACTCTCAGCGACTTTCAAGTGTGAAGGAAGGGGGTGTTGCTAGTTTCACAGCCTCAAACCAACTGCTGTGAGGAGTGGATTTGGTTGGTGCTACTTGCCTCTTGGATTCCTGTCACAGAACACTTCTGTCCAAAGCCATTGGACATAGTCGAGTACTTCAGTGGGTGTGCGAGGGTGAGTAAGTGGGCACACTTCATGGGGTTCAATGTGCGGGCGTACGATATAGACTACGACCATCCACCTGCAGGGTTCGAGTCTTCGTTTTCCTCAACACCCAAACGTTCAGCTTATGACATCAATGGAGATGCTGGCATATTGTTGCTCATCTAAATGTTTTGCTTTGTGTTTATCCTGAATACTTATTCTTATTGTCAGGGTCCAGGGTGATCCCATTTAATTGCAGTATCTATTGTTTGAACTTAGGTTGGCCGTGCTTCTTGTGCTACAGGGCTCTACGGATCTTGTATCGATCATAGCAGTTGTTTGCTCAACATGGAGTCTTGTCAATCGCCACACGTCCCAACGTGATGATCTCACACCAGAAGGACAGATTCGAGCAACCTCTGTGAGAAAAGGAAATCGCATGGTGAGTCGAGTTTCCCTTTTAATTCTATTGATGGGGTGCTTGGGGCAAACGTATCTCCTGGAAAACCCAGAGCGGTCGATCATCACGGCATATCCTCGATTGACATGGGTCCTCAAGGCTTTGCGGCGCGCTGGAGTTCGAGTGGTTTGGATGATTTGGGTTGCGACATTGTATTTAATTTTGTTGCTTATTGATCAAAATGACCAAGCACTTTCTTGGAAAGCATTTGTTGATGTGGTAAAGTTTAGCCAATGCTTTCAGGTTGACCTTTGAGATGGCATCCTTTGGCGCCCCTAGCAAAAAGCCCACGATGATCCTGACCAACAGCATGGCAGCAGCGAAACTTTTGAGAAAACGGAAAAAACACATGAGGCTTCAAACAGGGATGACGCCCACAACAAAACGTTACCGGGACAAACGTGGAAAACTTCGTTTCTGCGGAACTCCACGCCTGAAGAAATCTCAGACACTTGTCATTTTATGGATGTGTGGTTGGTTTAGTGGTTTCAACAACTGTATTCCCACTGCTTGCCTTGATCGGTGACCATTTCGGGCCTTGGGGGGTCTGGTGGGTAGCTAAGGATCTATCCCATGCCTTTTGCAAAGGCTATCATCCAACTTTTGCCTGAATTTCAAAAGCACAAGACTGGCTTTGATATGAAGGATCGATATTATAAAAGGGGATGGTGTAGCAGCACAATGAAGTGCATTAAGTGTTGTTTTGTCACACATGTTTCAATCCTGCCCCGCATCAGGCAGATGATGATGTGGCGCTCCCTGAGCTGATGGTTCGTCTTCAGAACCCTGGGTGGGAGGAAACAAACCTCCAGTCTGCTGTACAATACATTCGGCAAATCAGGGAGATATGTATCCCTAGCGAGTTTTTGGCATGTGAGCATTTGTTCACGTCTTGCTGCTCCTAGGTGGAACGAAGGCACCTCAAAGGGGTTTCTCATGAAGTTAACTCCATTTTGTGGTTTGGACAAGTTTTAGGGGAAAAACATGAAAATCAAAACGGCGTAAAAAAGCATCAAAACGGCGTAAAAAAGCATCAAAACGGCGTAAATTTTTTTGGTTGGTTTTAGGGAACCCCTTTGGCGTCGCAATGCGACACAATTGAACCTTCTTTGCACTATCGTGTGCATAATTCAGTATGGCGAGGGTTTACCCGTCGCAATCACCATGACATCCTGGAGAGGTATGATTTGGAAGTGAAACAACAATCTATGTTGTGATTCATGGTGCACGTGTAAAACTACAGTTGGGATTGAGGTTTTGGTGTTTTGGTATGATTAATTCTGATTCTGAAGCTTTTTCTGGCCACAGCTGGTAGTTACAATGGAACCTCAAGCCTTGCGGAGCATTTGGTCAGCAGAAACCCTGGTAGGGGGGTTGGCAGGGATTCATCACCAGCCTGGGCTTCTTCTCACCAAGCTGGAGAATGATCATGAACTTCAGAATGAAATGAACGTTGCTTGGATGGTTTTTCCTGTGACATCTGGTTAGTATCATTTGTTCCCACATTGTATGATCAATCCTCTTTGAATGTTCCTAGGCTCTCCAAGCGAAGCTTGAACGACTGGGCCCGGAGGACGCGTCGGGGTTGGTTGAACCTGCAGTTGTGACCCAGCAGGAGGATACTGTTTTTGACACACTTGTTGACAACACCCAGCTCGAGGCACATACCCAGTTTGATCCCTATGAGGTCCCAGAACCCTTGGCGGAGAAAGGACAGGCTTACCCAGAAGTTGTTGACGGTGATGACATGGACAACAATGCCATGAGGGAGTTTTTCATCCAACATTTGGATGATGATGTTGTACCTAGGTGATGGAATAGCCATGGTTGGTTTTTAGATGAGTGCTGTAAGCCACTGTTTCAGTTGAACGTTTGTACATTGGAAACCTCAGCACAGCATTTTATACTTGGGCTCAGGTGCTTGACGATCCTTATCCAAGTCCAGATTGCGATGTCGAGGGCCCAGATGGTGGTGCCGGTGCTCATCCAAATTCGGGTCATTGCACGTGTGAAGGGCTGGGTGGCAGTGCCAAAGGTGATGTTGGTTCAAAATCTCTTGAGGTTGGTGAGGCTGGCCCATGTCAGAAGGTCTCTGATCAGCTCCATGTTGAGACCCAAGCTTCTGGCTCATGTGGGAGGGCCGTAGCCACGCCTGCCAGGGCGGTGGCACAAATTCCCGGAACCCCCGATGAATCAGTCGAAACGCTAAGCTACACTCCAACCTCGGTGGCCACCCCAACACCTCCTTATGAAAGCGTCCCTGATTCAAAAGATAAGGATGCAGCCCGTCCAGTGCCAGGACAGCTCAGGATTAGCGAAGGTGCGATCTATGGGAGGCTTCGCCGAGTGTTTGAGCCTTCCAAGAAAACCGGACACAGGAAGGTATCAGATGCCATTTACAAACAATGGGTTGACAAGGGCAAGGGCAGGCAAAAGATCTTCTCATTGTTCCAAAGCTGTGGATACTGCAAGGACAGATGTGTTTCTTTTCCCAACATGAAACAACCAAACCCTCTACAACTGCGGGATTGTGGTTGAGTTTGGGCAAAGCTCTTGGCTAGGACAGCTTTATTCAAGAGTGTGAACTTCTTCGTGAAGATAGCTTGGAGGACAACTTGCTAATAGAAGGGGAGTTTCTCTCTGAACGTGCTATGCTCGAAGACTGGGGATGGAGTCCGACTCTAGGCTTGTTCAGTTTCCATTGATAATGACCAGTGTCCCATGTTTGCAGCCTTCATCTTCTTCCCCCAGCCCCGATCTTTTGCTGTTTTGGTTGGCCTAGGCCACGGGTGGCGGCAGCCAAGAAAGCCGCAAAAGAAGATCCGAAGCGGCTTATGAGGCCTAATTACAAGTGTAGGTGAACGGTAGTTTGTTGTAGTGACTGTAGTGTAGTGTAGCTTATTCTTCTGTTGACCTGTTGACCTATCCAGCTGGGTGCAGGTGGGACCGATACGAAAGGGTGCTATTGTAGGATGCAATCCCTTTCGACAGATCCCGTCCAGAATTTGCTTACAAGTGCGACGTTTTTCACAATCTTCGACTTGGCCTCTACCGTCACTTTGTAGGATCGTCAGTTTTCTTGATCCTGAGAACCGGCTTCTTTCGATCACATGGAAAGGTAGATGAGAAATTGGCTGCTGCTTGGGGTCATTTCAAGCTCTGGCAAACTATGACAGGACAGAGAGCATCTCTCCGTTCGTTCACCTCAGCTCTGTACAACTATGAAACTCGACGCAGCTTTCCCTGGGTGAACTGCAAGGGTTCAGACTGCATGCTTTGCTTGCGATGGTTGATTTCAGTTGCGGTGGCTGTCCTGAATACACAGCAGCTGGACCAAGGGCTGAAAGAAGCGATGGAAGTCATCGTATCTTCAGCTCGGCTAGGCGTCCGGTGGTTCGATCTAGTGTACCAACATGGACTGTGGCTTTCACCTTCCTGTGGAGCATGCCTCTATGAAGTTGGGGTCGGCTTTGTTGATGGCTATGCAAAGTTGTTTGCTTATGCTTGGGCAACTCAGCAATCTCTGTATGCATTGGTCCCCAAGTACCATTTTCAGCTCCACACGTTGCATGAGCTTCATACTCAGCTAAGCTCTGGATCACTGGTGATTTGCAATCCTGTGCACTGGGACTGTAGCCAGAATGAAGACCTCATCGGTCGATTGAGTAAGTTGAGCAGAGTCGCAGATTGCCGTGTTGCCAGCGCTAGGGTGCTTGAATTGTATCTAATAAAAGCGTGCATTCTCTTGAAGAGACATTTTGGTGACAAAAGCAGGCAGGGACAATGATGCGAATCGAATTATAACGGTGAAACAAAGTTGTAAAGAGGTGAGGTGTTTCTGAAGACTGGTTTGTGAGGTTGATCCTTGCCGGCATTGTCAAAGCCAATGTTAAAGACATTTGGCATTGTGATGCATTGTGTGAATCGATCGGAAAACACCTGGGGACAGTGATGATTTCCTGAGAGCGTTTATTTTGACAAACGGCGATAATGTGAGCTCACGGCGAAAGTTTTTGTTGTTTTGCGAAACAGCGGAAATTCCGCACACGAGGAAGACCTAGGTATATATATATACTAATTGTTTGGTGGGAAATCTTTTGGACTTACTGGACGTCAACGGAGTGGACTCAGGTGGAATCCACATCCGCCATTGGTTTGTATGAACTTAACCTAGTACGACCCAAATAGTTATTCAGAACTGGACCGGACGTATTCAATGAGTTTTGGTTATTTGTGTGAGAGTGCCCTGATGGGTCTTGTTACTTATTATATATCCTGTAGGCGCACAGGCGCCAAAGCCAAGAAAACAAGGACGGGGACAAGTTGATGTAGATAAAACTAACTTGCAATTGGCAGCCCCTGGAAATCAGACATCAGAGCTTGATGCATGCGGTTTTCAGAGTAGCCAGATGGTGCAATCCTTCTTCAGCTACTTGAAGATGAGAACCACGTTTGAGTTTCGCACCACCTACTCATTATGCTATCATATGCTTGCAAGATTTGGTGCAGATCAGACCGGCCTCACTTCAGGAGCCTGCAAAGCAACCTCATGCAGTTGCCGAGGCAACATGTGAATGGGACGATCTGACCTGCTGTACAGCTACAAACGCCTTCCAAAGGATGTGACTCCACTTCTTATGTATCATGTTGTTTTTTTCCCAAGTGCGACTCTTGGGGTGCACCAAGTGCGTTTCAGTACGTCGATCTCAAAATGCCTTAGCTCCAGGCGTGCCTCACATGCAGCGGAAAGAAGTCACAGAGTCATCACTCATGCATATGGGTTCATGTTCTTAGCTAAGCTACAAGCACACGAAGAGTCATGAACCCTACAGGATTCAACATCACCTGCAGTACTCAACACCGGCAAAAGAACAGTGTTCGGATCAGTTGACGGAGCTACTGCTGCAGAGCTAATGTTTTTTTTCCTGTAGTTTTCCTGCGACGGTGCATGCCTAGTGACTTAGCCAGTATATCTATATATATTTTTTGGCTGCCTGAACCTAATTGCCTAATTAACTATCCTGCCTTCAACATTGCGTGAACCCTCCAAAACTGAAACTCATTCAACAAATGCTCTGAATTGCCCTGCTCCACTGCCCCCACTCCACCGCTTCAGGCTCCACCTCCGGCACCGGCACCAGCGCATGCGCTGGCGGAACCGGCACCTGCAGAGCCGGAGGCACCGGAGAAAGACAGCCTCTTGGGTCAAGATGGGACAGCAGGTTGGCGACCGGATATGGGCTTTGGAGTTGTTTATGGAGAGTGACAATCAAGGGACTGTGAGTTGGTGGTGGATACGGAAAATAGAACGAGGGATGGACTCATGAATTGGTCCGGGTTGAGATGCTGTGTTTCTCCAAACCGGTTTCGGCGGACAATGCTGCACAACATTGCACAAACAATTCGAAACAAGGAACGAAAGTATTTACGCGTACTACTTGGCATATTAGCGTTGTGTTAGCACCTCCTGGTCACCTGAGGAGCGGTGGATCTGTTTAGGTCCTTCTTGTCGCATGGCCGAGATGCACAGAACTGGCGGAAGAACGACCCGCAGCTGCACGGGAGGGTGTTGCCTGTTGGCTTTGTGGCATGGTGGGTCAAGGGAGAGGGCCAGAAGAAAGGGCGGTTCATGTGTCAGATGTTTCTCTTCATCACCAAATTTTAGCAAATGTAACCATGGTTGCCTATGCTGTCCAAATGTAGCACGTGAGTAATCGTATTTTGTAAGGGTTAGGGCCGGACTCTTGGTGTGAGCTGGGGATAGGTGGCTTGAATGTTTCAAGGTTTTGGGCTACTTGTCGTTGACGGTATTGGCCACGTTCGTCGACTGGGGAGAGCTGCGCACTGAGGATCTGCGATTGATCAACAACTTCGTGGTGCCATGGTGCCTGGCTGAAAAGTCTTCGACGATGTACTCATATGGGACATCCTCCGCACGTATGGCGATTGACAACGCCATGACCGGCATTCATAAGTCTATCCATCCTCTTCTTCACCACTACCAACTCGCCACCCACGGCCATCCACAGTTGACCCCAGGCTCTTCGGCGGCGACGCGCGCATCGACTGGGCTCATCCGGTCCTGGCGCTGGATCAGCTGGAGGAGTTGACGCGCGAGGCGCCGGAGCAGTGCCTTGGGCGCCCATCCGGGCGAATCGGCGATCGGGTGGACGTGGTGGTCGAAACTGACCAGTGGGCGACAGGGGGGTTGATAGCCTTGGCCGGTATAGCCTTCTGATGCCTTCTTATTGGAGTCATGAATGAATGGAGGGAGGATCCCTGAGAATCCCAGAGAAAATGGCTGAACTTAGAGGGTTGAGGTTTTGCGGTTTCTGCGAGGTCATGAAATGACCATGACGCAGTGATGCTGACAGTGGCAGAGTGGCAGGTGTAGGTGGAGGCAAGAAGGTGCATACCAAAAAGGACGGAGCGAGCCACATGAAGCCTCCAGTTCAAAGACATCGATGGGTTGAAGCCTTGGGGTACCAATTCCTTTATATGTGCGTGATTGATTGACAGGGAAGAAGTCTTTGGGGGAAGGAGAAATCTGTAGCAATAAATAGCTATGTGTGACCAACAACTCCTTTGGGTCTCACACGAGTGAGGAAACATCCTTGCGCCATGGGATGCCATGGGCTTCAAATTAAAGGATAACGGATAACCCCGCATTCATATATGTGAGGAGGCGGACGGCAAGCCTACACAATACTGTAGATGTGTTAAAAAAAGAAACAGTTCCATCTTTCTTGCTAGTCTCCTTGCAGTTCGCCATCAGCATTGGCCTTTTGGAGACACTCAGGTTGAAGCTGCTGGGACCTGCTCCAAAGAAGAGCGTCCAGGCACAGTCGAGTCAACGAATTCCGGACGTTCTTTTTCAGGCCCAAGGAGTCAATGGCTTAAACGGTAGTACGCAGTGATCAAGTGGTTCGGATGGGATATGCTTGGATGACTCCTTTTTTTTTGCGTTTTGTTTCGCTGTGTCTTTTTCTGAAAGATTGGTACTGGATCGATCGACTAGGCCATGTCAGCCTTGCAAGGGAGTGCTCACTCAGTGAAAACAGCGGATTGAAGTGGACGATGTGCTGATTCAGCAGGACCTGGCCACCAAAAGTATCCAGAAGTCCTTGTCCAACAACTTGCCAAAAGCACCCAAAATCACCAATCCCAAGTTCCCGAGGCTTTGCTTCTCATCACCCCCCACCATATATCCTACCTCTCCAAAGCACTCTTCTGCTCGTATTTGAGCCGCTCATCAGGCTCCTTACGCCCCGGTGGCCGCTCCCACGGCGCCCACCACGCCCAACACCATGACGCCCGGCTCCACGCCGCACGCGCGGCCCCCGCGGCCGCCGCGACCGCAGAGCCCGCTGGAGGAAGGCGCCAGCAGAGTTGGAGCGGCGGAGTTCGGCGGAATCATCGCGGAAGGATCATGGTTATGTGGATGGCATGGCCTCAGGAGAACAGGATGACCAATTTCTTCTCTACTTGCGAATGGTTTTCAATCATCCACTTCCATGATTAGATTTCGGTGAGGAAGCAGAAAAAGCGCAGCCAGCTGCTCCTGCAAGACCGCTCAATAAAAAGGGGTGGTGAACTCCGAGAGAACTCCCTGTTTGCAGGTGCTCCACCTGCTCAGCCTGTTGCCCGCCGCTGTGGTACGGGCGACCTGCCCCGGCGCTCGAAGGCACCTGAGGAGAATCCACGCGACTTGGAGAAGAAGAAGTGGAAAAGGAATGAAAAGGAGGTGGGGATGAGAGGGGGTACCCCGTTCTTTTTCCTTGAGTTTCTACACCAAACAGGCACATCAGACACCTCCCTCTAGACCTGAATGTTGGACCTTTAGACACACTGTTTGAGGTCTCTTGCTGGGCGAATGTTGGAACCGGCTGTCACCATGTTGCTATTGCTTTTGAGCATCTTTGAGCCATGTTGCACCGTGTTTTGTCTCGCCGCATGAAAGTCCTCAGATGCAGCACCGGAGATTGGGACTTTGGGTCTTCATCCCATCTCTGAGATGAGATCGAGGGTCATCTCATCTTTCGGGTCTCTGGGGCCATCTTTGGGCTACAGAACTCCTATATCTATAAGTGGAGCTCTAAGTGGAGATTCCTCTTTGGATAATCTTTGGGCTACTCATATCTAAGTGGGGGATCATAAATCCACATATGTTTTTAAGGCCCTGGCCTCCACTGCACTCATGGCACCCAGGATGACTCGCCCTGTCGGTTCGATCCCCCTCACCTCAGCGGAGCGCCGGCCTAGGTGGTGCTCGGAGCGCCTCGCCGGCGCGGGTGTGCAGCCATCAGGAGGCCGAGCAAGTCGAGTCCTGTTCAGTATCCTGTTTGGAGGGGATGTTGCTTTCCGAGCTCGTTTTTGGGGGGAGCACTATTTGAGTTCCTTGCTTGAAGATGCTTTGGCAAGCCATTTGACCTGCAAATACAAGATAGCACGAGAGTCAATGATGCACCACTTGGTTAAGCACATGTTGGCTTCTATTCTTCAGTCTTGGTTTGCCCAAAAGTGGATCCCAGTTTTGGGGACGGCCAATCGAGTGGCACGTGCTCCGAAGACAGCGTGGCTCGTGGAAACGGCCGGCCGGCCAGCACGTGGAAAAGGCGGTTGTTTGTGAACCCGAGGACTGATTTCTATTGTCATGTCTTTCAAGAGGAATCATTGGATGAGGTTGGATGTGATTGAGTCAATTACGTAGATGACATTGGACTTTGGGAGTTGGATCCTCGCAAGTAAAAACACCAGAAATAAACACTTGAAAACAAACAAGGAGGAACTCACACTTACAGAGGGGACGAGTTCATTTGGAGGACTTGTGGATCCCACCACCAGCTGCGCCAGGCCATTCGTGCGCGGCGGGAAGCGCTGGAGCAGGCGCGCCAGGACTCCTTGAAGATGCTCGGCACTGCTCGGCGCCTGCGGTGCTTGAAAGTAGACGTTGATAGAGTGCTGAGAGCGCTCACTGTTGCAACGGTAGTTGTGTTAGAAAGATGGCTGAACTTGGGGGTCGTTTGCAATGATTTGCTATGTAGGCGGTCAGTTTGCAATTTTGGTACTCATATAGATGTATGTGTTGTTTTTGGTGACGCTATGGGTTCGGACTGCTTTTGCCCAAGGAAAGCGCTTGCCAAGAAGGAGTTCGGGCACCGTGAGGACTGGAGGGTCAGACACTCAGGAAGCTGGAGGAGTAGCTGGCCATTCTGCACAGTCTGGTGATGGTTGGAATCCAGGCCTGCCAGGCAAGCTGCGTTGAATCTGAATCTAAAGTGGATAACTGATAGCATCACTTTGGCAAAGAACCTCTACTTCAAGTGTCTCCTTGCACGGGGTACCTTACTATACATTAACCCCCCTTTCTCATCAGATCCCAGTCAGATCTTCTCACCACTATGGACTCTATGACCAAAAGACCTCTCATCACCTCACCAGACAGATGCCACCCCGCTCGCACACAAAAAGAAACCATCCTCACCGGCAGTCACAGGAGGAGATCGCAGCGCTGGAGGCCCAGATGGGCACCGCCAGCACCTATGCCGCGGCGGGGCTCAAGAAACGCCTTCAAACCTTGAAGGCCCCGAAAATCGTGGGAAGCAGGAGACAGACATGAGACAGGCATATGTATGACATCATATGACCCTTAGGCACAGTATGACCAAGTATGTGTATCAATTTACTTTGTTGATTTAAGTGTATGTGTTTTGGAGTGTGTTCACTTCACAAAAGTGGGTCAAATTGCTGCAGCTGCTGAGATGCATGAAGTCTAGTATGAAGCCTAATTTTCCACATGATCATGATGCTAATGAGGATGTGTTTGTGTTGCACGTGTTGCACCACAGCGACCCTGGAGGCTGCGGCCCTGCGAGAGGACCGCGCCGCCCAGGCGCGCGCGGCCGCAGCCCGCGCCGCCGTGAACGGAGGCGAGCTCCGGGCGTGGCTGGGACAGTGGCACTGAACGGAGTTCATCCGGATGGGTCTGAAGAGCCTTGAAGAAGCACCGCTTTGGAACTCGAATTATGTGCGCCACTTCTTGGCAGGTTTGCTTTTGAATATGTCGGGATCACATAGGAGGAAGATGCATGTTGGACTATTATCAGAAGCCTTCGTGGGTGACATGATGTGCTTTGGTCCGGCATTTGTCCCAACTGATGCGAATGACTCTTTTGTGAAAGTGCCACACCACAGTGTGATGAGAGTCTCTTGTAGGATGGAAGAAGTCCAAACTCCGGCCTAATGCAGAGGCTTTCATCATGTCAATCTACCAATTGAGGATTGGGATTATACCATAATAATCCATGATATGCCCAAGGTATAGGTATGAGGAGGTTGGCCTTGAGTAATTCAGAGACATGCCACGAATGGAGTTGGCAAGTGGCCTCCTGGTACAACTCCAACTTCTTCCAATGTGCCCGCAGCGACACCCCTGCAGCGTTCGGGGCCCTCCATAGTTGGGTGTTTGGTCGAGTTTATCAAGGTCTTTGATCTATGAAACCCTGGTGCAACCCCCATTGCAGCTCCTTGGAAGATGTTTGGATAATGGCAAATGGTAGACATGTTCCATCATTTCCCCCTAACATACACAAATGCAGCCAAAGTAACGGATCATCGCCATCCCAACTTGGCCATTTCCAAGTTCATGACCTTCACCAGCCCTTCGACCACTCCACACGTCGTACATCCATGCGCCCATTGGTCAGCTACACCTGGCTTTCCACCCACACGGCTCGCCCGAACCGACCATCAACGCCTGCATGTTTGGCTCGAAGACCTGTCCATGTAGCCCAACCCCCCCATTCTTTGCCGGGTCCACTGGACCCCGATTTTGGATGTTCGTGCGGCGAGCCTATGCCTGCCCGGTGTGCGGCGAAGGGTTTGCCAAGTGGAGCATTTGCCAGAACCATGTCAACACTAGTGCCGCTTGACCACCATTAGACCATTATTAGACCATGGAGGACACGTCCGAACACATCTCACCACAGAAAAGAACTTGGTTTGTTGCTGATTTTGAGTGGGTGAAGCCTTGTTTTGGGGCGCGGTAGTTTGACCAATCCATTGCGGGTTTGTTTGCTCATTTCAGTTGGTTGGCAGATGTTTGCAACCTCTTTCGGGACAGGGAAGAGGAAACATGGCCGTTGCTTCCTGACAGTCACAGTCACCGACCATGACCTGCATGGATACACGGCCACACAGTCACCTGATCCTCAAAGTCATCATCATATTTGTGTGCCACACGGTCTGTGTTTAAGGATCTTTATGTGGAGTGCCTAGGGCTTTGGCTATCTCACATAGAGGGGTGGTAGCTTGGACAAACTTCGAACTTGGTGCACCCTTCCTGAAGCGAAGGGTTGGGCAAGATGAGAAACACTTTTTCCCATGACCATCTTCAGCGACACGTCGACCCAAACTGATGAGAGAATAGAACGTTGCTTAGCCCAAATGGGCCAATCGTTCACCCTTTCATGGCCGGCGTCAAAAGGGAAAAAACCACTTGAAAGATCCCCGGATTGGAGGAGCCAAAAGCAGGTCCCGAGAGCTCACTCAAGACAGCTCCCAAGCAGTCGAGACGGTCGGAAGATCCTCGTGATGCAGAGAACCACGTTTTGACCAGAGAACCACTGCGTCAGACCTGTGTCACAGACCTGTGTCAGCTGTTTTTCAGGTCACCTGTTGCACCATCTTGGGCGACCGCCTCAAGATTCAGGCGCTAAGCCGAACAGCCAACGCACGGCACGGTAGACGACAGGTGGATCTCGGTGTAATAGCCAGGGATACTTACGGAGCTAATTTGAATTCCACACCGCCTGCTATGGAGGTGCCTTGATAGATCAGGGAAGGTTTGATTGGATGCTGAACGGTTTTTGCTTTTGAATGCTGTTGAAGACTTGCTTTTCTAAGCTTTATTGACGTGTCACTAACCTATTAATCCTAGTATCAATCCTATAATACTGTTTGATGTTTGATATGTACTTACCCGTGGGCATTCAAACTGAATCTGATATGTACTTACCCACGGGCATTCAAACTGACTTGCTTTCCTCTATTGAATCCAAGATAATCCAAGACTCCTGTACCTAAGTCAAACGGGAGCTTGGGTCTCTAATTCTCTTTTCTGAATGACCCAGCTAACAGCTAGTCCCGGCCGCCATCCCTGGCACAGATCAGCCAATATATAAACCATCCCTCCAAAATCATCACACATGGAGCCTCGTCGCAGGCATGGAGGCTTAATGGCTTAATGCGCCTAATGTGCCGGGACACTTGTGCCCAAAACCGTCGCTCCCCTGCGCCAGGAGGAACTCCAAGAGCTCTGCCGCGGCGCGGCCAACGGCGACTTCATCCACCTCGCCGCGCCCGAGGCGCCGGTGGAGGTACCGGTAGAGGTGCCGGTGCTGCCGGTGGCGCCAGCACCGCTGCCATTGACCACGCTGGTGCCTGCACCGGTGCCCATGCCGGTGGGACCGGTGCGGCCGGTGTCCGTGGCCTGGACTGGGAGGAGAGGCCGTGTGAGCCAGGTCTTTTGGCAGTACAGGTGGTCACCAGGAACCAGGTCAGAATATATATCCCGGGATCCAAGTTAACTTCTCAGAAGGTGATTGGAGACACTGTTCTGATCTGTTAACGTATATATACAGGTTTGGAGGGTCCAAAAAGCAAGCACCCTGAGGACCGATGAGTTTGTCAGCATGTTGAACCTTCAGGCAGTCTGACCGATGCCTTAGCCGACCTGAGGAAAATGCTGGCTTTCAATGGCAGGCATCTTCTGAGAAGTTGCTCTACTCGAGGTCGACCAAGCCGCAGCCGCTTGTTCGAGAACAACGTGGGAAGCGTCCGAGCTCGGATGCGTGGGGTGAAACCCGTTGGCGTCGAATGCGGAGAGATCATCCAGGGGTGGCGGTCCTTCACAGCAGGATGAAGAAGGATTTGCACATGTAAGTAGTTTGCTCACAGATCGGAACTCGTCAGAACAGCAAACAAGAGAAAGAAAATCCGAGAAGGGTGTGAGTGTGAGGAGCTTTTTTGCCCGTAATAGGTCTTGTTTTAGGAAAACCAAAGAGGGTATGCCAGGCATGTGGGGGTTGTGGTATGTTGACGTAGGTTGTTGTAAACAGTTAATGCAGCATATGCAGCTTGTGTCACATGGTAGGTGGCACATGGAAGGGTCAACATGAGTCAATAATACTTCAAGAAC